GTGCGACTGTCGCCGTGTGGGGCAGGCGGTGGAAGGGCATGCGGGTGGCTTTGCGCGTGTCGCAGGGAGGGGGCGGGGGGGGAGCAGCGGGCAGGGCGGCGCGGCCGGCGTGGCGGTCGGCGGCGGCCAGGCCCGAGCAGGGGTGCCGCGGCGTCGCGGCGGGCGGGTGGGAGGAGCGCGGGCAACGCCTCCGACGGAGGTTTGCAGATCAGAGGGCGGGGCAAGGCGTCGGCAGAGGGAGTGGGTCAGAGTCACTGCGTACCGACTCTGACCGCTTGGCAAAGCCGCTGAGCCCGCCGGCCTGCCGGAGGGTGGGCATGCGCTCGCGCCGACCCGTCAGGATCTTGTGCGGGTACACCTGCAGGGGCGCACAGGCGCCAGCGGTGAGGCAGAGAGGGCACTTCCCGACAGGCCGGATCACAGGGCCGGATCAAAGGTCGCTGCTGGCACGCGCGCGGTGGGCTGCAGCGCGAGGGCGCGTCGGGTCCGAAGCGGACGGGGCGGTGGAGCAGTGCAGGTGCAGCGCCGCCGCCTCGCGGCCAGGCGAGGGCGGGGCGCGCGCCTGGTGCGACACGTCCCAGATCACCGGGTCGGCCGGCGTGTTGAAGACGTAGTGCAGCGCGACGGTGAGCTCGACGACTCCGAGCGAGGAGCCGAGGTGGCCTCCGGTTTTGGAGACGGCGTTGATGGTCTCCCACCGCAGCTCATGCGACAGCTGCTTGAGCTCCGCCAGCGAGAAGCCCTTGAGGTCGTTGGGCGTCGAGACGGTGTCCAGAAGCGGTGTGGACCGCGGCCCGGCGTACGGAGGACCCGGCTGCTGCTGCTGCTGCATGCACGCGTGCGCACGCGACGTGGCGCACGCGGTGCGCGCGCCGCCCAGCCCGAGCGACGGGGCGCTGTACAACCCGAGCAGGAGGCTCATGGAAATGCTGGAATGATGGTGAGCTTGAGAAGCTTGGGCAGATCGGCGAGCACACGAGGGAGAATTTTACTATAGAAGCCCCTCTCACAGCAGACTGGCTCGGACTGGCACTACAAATGGCACAGCAGGCGACGGCCCCTTACGGGTCGTCAAAGAGGCCGGCGTACTCCTCCGGCCGCTCCTCCCCCTCCCAATCCTCCCCGGGCTCTGGCTCCTCCTCCTTCGCCCGCGCCCTCGCCCCCCGCCGGCGGGGATTCCGTGCGGCCGTCGCCCCCTCCCCCTCCCCGCCGCCATCACGGCCGGAGCCGTACCACCCAGCGCGCCCGAGGAACGAGGACTGAGCCTCAACCTCGTCCAACCTCACCGCCCTCACGGCGGCGTCGCACGCCTCAGCCCGCGAAGCGCCAGCAGCATGCGCCGCGGCGTACGCCGCGTCGCCTACCGCCTGCCTCGCGAGAGACGCGGCGCGCCACTCGTCCTCCAGCGCCGCCGAGCCCCACACAGGGTCTCCCGCAGACCGGTCCGAGTCGCCGTCCGAGCTTAGCTCGCCCTCGCCCTCGCCCTCGCCTCGCGCCTCGCCGCTCCCATCCTGCGGCTGCGCCACGCCCCGCGCCTCGCAGCAGCCCCATCCTTGGCAGAGCCCGCCGCACATGCCATGCGCGACGTATGCCTGGCGCAGGCCAGGCACCCCCCACCGATCGTCAGTGGTGGCGAGATAGGGCGCCGCGCAGCGGCCTGTCGAGTTAGCCCACCGCCACGCGCCCGCCCGCCACAACTCGCCCGCCGACCCGGGCCGCCCGCAGAGGCAGCACGGCTCGACGACGCCGAGCCACTGCCCGACGTTCAGCTGCGCCCAATGCGCCCGCCACCACGCCGCCCCGCCGCGGCGCCGCCAGCTTTCATGTTCCGGATGGTCGGCACTGGAAAGAGAAGAATCCTGAGCGCCTGCTGCGCGCGACTCGAGGTCGCGCGACTCAATGCGGGCGGTCATGGAGGCCTCACCTTCAAGAAGGGAGGCCGTGTGGACCTCTCGGGAACAATCGGGCGACACGGCGCCGCTCTCCTCCCCCTCCGCCGGCGCCGCGCCGCCGGTGGAAACCTCCTCCACTTGGTTGGGCCGCTCAGCAGCCAAACCCGCCGCGGTGTCGGGCACCTTCTCGAGCCCCCCCCCGCGACCCCTGGCGCCACGGCCGCGCCGCCCTCGGCGGCGCCGCGGCGCCTTCCGCCCGTCCTCGACCTCCTCCTCCCCCCCCTCGGCGGCAATCGTCCCATCGCCGCTCTCCGGCAGCGCGGGCTCCAAGGGGTCCAAACTGGATCCCTCGGTCCCACCTCCGGACCCACCTTCAGCGGCCTGCGCGTCGCAGGCACCGCCGTCCGCCTCTTCGGGGCGCGCGCCGCCGCGGCCCGCGCCGCCAGCCGCTGCCCCGCCACCAGCCGCCTGATCGCCAGCCGCCACCCCAGCCGGGGTGTCGCCCAGCGACAAGCCGCTGAGGGATGCCAAGACCGCAGCTGCGTCCCCCCAGCCCCGCGGGCCGAGAAGAGCTCGGCGGAGCTTCTCCGCCTGGCGGTCGTGGATGTCGAGCGAGCCGATGCCCTTCTCAGCGACCTCCTCGAGGAGGTCGCCGGCATCGCCAACGCCCAGCTCCGCGAGCCGCCCCTCATACCTGCGGTAGAGGATGTCGGCGACTCCCGCGCGCTTGAACAGAGCCGCGAGCGGCTCTCGCAGGTCGATGGCGGGCGAAGCCGCCATCGAAGGCCTGGTGCCCGGCCGCGTGGCCCCGGGCTGCGGGTGGGTGCTCGCTGTGGCGGCCGCCGAGAGGGCAGAGAGCGGCGGCAGGCCGAGGGAGAAAAAACTTTGTTCTCTGACTGCAGTCCAAGTGTCCCTGTCGTCGGGACCCTGTCCTCCTCCCCCATCCCTCGTCTGGGTTTGTCTGTTTTCTTTCTTTCTTTCTGTCCCTGATCGTCCTTACAAGATCCTGCTTGTGCAGGTGGGGACCCTGTCCTTCTCCCACCCCGAGTGTGTGTGTGTGTGTGTGTGTGTGTGTACTTGAGTCAGTCGGTCAATCAGTCGGTCAGTGGCGAGCAGAGAGAGGAAGTTCAGATGGAAGTGGAGAGGGGAGGCGATAGCGAGGCAGCGGGGAGCAGTGGGCGGAGTGGGCTTGATGGAGCGGAGTCGAGAGGCGACATGGTGGGAGGAGGGAGCTATGCTGAGGAGGACGACGAGCTTATGCTGGAGATTTTTGCACTGCCATGTCGCAGACGACTGCTGGATCGGCCGTCGCTACGACCTTCCAGCTCTTCAAGTCGAAGGGAGGGAATGCCTGGAATGCGTGGCGCTGCCTACAATGCGGCGAACTAGGGTCGGTCACTTCACTGATCAGTCGTCCGCAGGTTTGAGGGAGGAGGACTGCTGACAGGGTTTGCGATGATTTTCGGCCGGGGTGCCCAAATTACAAACAAATTACAAACAATTGTTGGTATTGCTAAAAATCTCTCTCTCTCCCAAATTATGTTCTAGGAAGTGCAGGTATATTGTTTGTTGGCAAATCAAGACACAGAGCTCACAGGAAGTGAATGCAGAAGATTCTTCTTTCTGGTTTCTGCACAGCCTCATTACAGACCTCAAATCGGACACTCTGTCCGCCCCCCATCAGACCACTAAATCTTCAGGGTCCCCCCCTAATTACCCCCTTGCAGACCTCATCGCCACAAAAATGGCCGCACTGTCGCTCTCTACCTCCGCTCTCGGCCTGGCCCACGGCGTCGCGCCGCCCCGCGGCTCGCCATCCATCTCGATGATGGCGAAGGCCACCGGCAAGGATACGCTTATTGCTCTGGCTGAGGAGCAGCAGGTATCATCACGCCGCGTGCTGCGCCGCCGCCAAGCCTGCAAAGCACACGCAGCCCACCGCACACACACCGCCAACGCACAATCCCTCGCTGCTCCAATCTCACCCTCCATCGCCACCTCCGCCGCCACCGTCGCCGCCTCCTCCGTCACCTCCGCCTGCGTCCCCACCGACGCCACCGCCGCCACCGCCATCGCACCCGCCGCCTCCTCTCCCCGCCTCCGCCGATCCCGCTGCTCCTCTGCCGCAGATCCCGATGGGCTTCTGGGACCCTCTCAAGCTGGCCGACAAGGACTTCTGGTCGGAGGGCAACGACGCGACCGTCGGCTGGCTCCGCCACGCCGAGATCAAGCACGGCCGCGTGGCGATGGCCGCCTTTGTCGGCTTCTGCGTCCGCGCGTGCCGCTCCCCGCCCATCACGACCCGCCACGTCCGCACGGTCCTCCGCCGTCGCCGCCCCCGCCCGGCTCGAGCCGTCCGCCCGTGTCGCAGAGTCGAACGGGATCCACTTCCCGTGGGACATCAAGGGCGGCATCCTCGGCGACGCCGCGACCGCCCTCTCTTACGGAGACCTGTCGGTTGATGCCTCCCTGCTGCCTCTTCCTCCCTTCGCCTCTCTCTCCTCCCTGCTGCCTCTCTTCCCTGCAGCCTCTCTCTCCTCCCTGCCGCCTCTCTCCCCTCCCTGCTTGCTCTCTCTCCTCCCTACAGCCTCTCTCTCCTCGCTACGCCCGCTCTCGGACGAGACACGTCCGAATGCTGCCGCCCTACACCCGCGCCAGTCGACCAGTGGGCCGTGAACAGCGTCTCTTCACACCTCTAGCTGTGAATAGGCCATCCCCGCGCCAGTCGACCAGTGGGCCGTGAACAGCGTCTCTTCACACCTCTAGCTGTGAATAGGCCATCCCCGCGCCAGTCGACCAGTGGGCCGTGAACAGCGTCTCTTCACACCTCTAGCTGTGAATAGGCCATCCCCGCGCCGGTCGACCAGTGGGCCGTGAACAGCGTCTCTTCACACCTCTAGCTGTGAATAGGCCATCCCCGCGCCAGTCGACCAGTGGGCTGCCGTGCCGACGGCGGGAAAGCTGCAGGTGCGCCGCACTGCCGAGCCTCCCTCCTCGCCGCTCGCCCCTCCTCTCTCCTCGCCTGCCTGCCTGCTCGCCTGCCTCCCCTCTCCTCGCCTGCCTCCCCTCTCCTCGCCTGCCTCCTCTCTCCTCGCCGCCGTACCACCGCCCGCCTCTACCACCGCCCGCCTCTACCACCGCCCGCCTCTACCACCGCCCGCCTCTACCACCGCCCGGCTCTACCACCGCCCGCCTCTACCACCGCCCGCCTCTACCACCGCCCCCTCGCCCCTCTCCCTGCTCCGCCCCGGCCTGCAGATCCTCGGCACGATCGCCGTGCTCGAGTTTGTTGGCGAGACGATGGAGCCGCACTACATGCGCGGAGGCACGCCGATAGGGGGAGAGGTGGCGAGAGGTGGGGAGATTTGGGGAGATATGGAGATGCACTACATGCGCGGAGGCACGCCGATAGGGGGAGATTTGGGGAGATTTGGGGAGATTTGGGGAGATATGGAGACGTGGGGAGATGTGGGGAGATGTGGGGAGACGTGGGGAGACGTGGGGAGACGTGGGGAGATGTGGGGAGACGTGGGGAGACGTGGGGAGACGTGGGGAGATGTGGGGAGATGTGGGGAGATGTGGGGAGATGTGGGGAGATCGCAATGTAGTCGCCCGCCGTCGGCCCCGCCGCTCGGCGGCACGTCCAAGGCCTGTCCAGGACATGCGCGAGACGTGTCCGCAGGCAAGCCTGGCTTCTACCCGTCGCTCAAGGACGCGGCCGGCGGCGGCAAGGTGTGGAGAGACACGTCCGAACAGCTCCACTGCCATCTAGAGGACACTTCCCAGACACTCCCTAGACACGTCCGAGACACGTCCGAGACACGTCCGAGACACGTCCGAGACACGTCCGAGACACGTCCGAGACACGTCCGAGACACGTCCGAGACACGTCCGAGACACTTCCGAGACACGTCCGAGACACGTCCGAGACACTTCCGAGACACGTCCGAGACACCTCCACTGCCCTTTGGCGGGGCACGTCCAACGTCGCGCCTCGGGAAGCCATCCCGCACCGGCCCTAGCCCCTACCCCTCACCCTGCCCCCCTACCCCCTACCCTGTGTCTCTTGTTTTCTTCTTCTTCCTCGTTCTCTCTTTTCTTCTTCCATCCCTTCTTTTTTCTTCTTTTCCTCTTCTCTTTCCTTTTATTTTTCTTCTTTCCTTTGCCTTTTATCTTCTCTTCCCCCCGCGTTTACATTGTTCCGCTCCCCTCCGTTG